TCTCTCTCTCTCTCTCTCTCTCTCTCTCTCTCTCTCTCTGCTGTAGTGATACTGTTGTCTGAACACGTTTGTTTGTGTTTGCTATTGTTTGGTAATGTGTCAGTTATGTACTTTAAACATAATTCAATACTCATAGATCATGTGGACGCAAACCTTGTTTGTGTTTGCATACAAATAAACAATCCATTAAAACCTGTGCCATTTACTCTGGCTTTACAATAACACACTCACTGGATGGAAGAGAGAGAGAACGAGACAGAAGAGAGTGTGCAACACACACACACACACACACACACACACACACACACACACACTCTCACTCACTCACTCACACACACACACACACACACACACTCACTCTCACACACACACACACACACACACACACACACACTCACTCACTCACTCTATCACACACACACACACACAGGAAATGGAACGGTTCTATTTTCTGTGACTCCATTTGAACTGCATTCACAGCAGATTGTGTTATAATGCAGTTCTGTTATTATGGGCAAACAGCTACAACAACAAAAGCAGCAATGACAAAGCAAGTCAATTCTGTATACTCACTATGAAAAAAGAAAAGAAAGAAAAAACAAAATACAGTCCCTCACCTCAGTAATGAGGACACACACACACACACACACACACATTACCAGGCAGTGTCCAGTGATGTCGTCGCAGTGCTCTGCGTGTCCGTGGCATTGACAGAGTTCACACACGCCGCGATACAGCGTCCCGTTAACCCTGCGGAAGCCCACCGCACATGTCTGTGAAAACACACACACAATGACACACACACTTAATAAATCAACACACATGAGTCTTCATGAGGATGAGCGTGGTGTTTTGGACAGGTTTGGCTGTACGTGCGTCAGCCAAACGTGAGAGCGTCTGCGCTGCCAGTAATTAATCGGTGCTATGCTAATTGACAGATCATTGTAAGTGCTTTGATTTACTAAATGAAGGAGAAGATTTGTTTCAGTCAACTGAAGCACAAGGGAAGTTTATAGAGCCGGCTGATAAACGCCTGTTCAGACAGAGTGTGTCAGTGTGTGTGTGTTTAAGCTGTATTTTCTTATTCAAACAATTCTGCCTTGTTTTATTTCATTAATGTGCCTGAAGTTGCTCTTCTTCTTGCATTTGAGTGATTGGTCACAGTTTTTACTGTCTACACAGACAGCTGTCGGCATGAAATCACAATTGTCATTTATTATTCTCATTATTTTCTATGTTATTGTTCTTATTGTGAATGATTCATTCATGCATATTTTTTTATATTCCTCATAATCTTTGCAATTAAAATGTCATAACTTGCTCCTTATGAGACTGCAATGCATTTAAGCCAATGACATTCAGATCTGCCTCATTCAGGGGTGCAACACTCACTGTTCACAATCCAATCAACAACCAATGGATTAAATCAAGTCTATATATATATATATATAGTTTAATAACCCATCTCACTCAGAAATACAGGTGCATCTCAATAAATTAGAATGTCATGGAAAAGTTCATTTATTTCAGTAATTCAACTCAAATTGTGAAACTTGTGTATTAAATCAATTCTATGCACACAGACTGAAGTAGTTTAAGTCTTTGGTTCTTTTAATTGTGATGATTTTGGCTCACATTTAACACAAACCCACCAATTCACTATCTCAACAAATTAGAATACTTCATAAGACCAATAAAAAACATTTTTAGTGAATTGTTGGCCTTCTGGAAAGTATGTTCATTTACTGTACATGTACTCAATACTTGGTTGGGGCTCCTTTTGCATGAATTACTGCATCAGTGCGGCGTGGCATGGAGGCAATCAGCCTGTGGCACTGCTGAGGTGGTATGGATGCCCAGGTTTCTTTGATAGCGGCCTTCAGCTCATCTGCATGGTTGAGTCTGGTGTCTCTCATCTTCCTCTTGACAATACCCCATAGATTCTCTCAGGGGTTCAGGTCTGGTGAGTTTGCTGGCCAGTCAAGCACACCAACACCATGGTCATTGAACCAGCTTTTGGTGCTTTTGGCAGTGTGGGCAGGTGCCAAATCCTGCTGGAAAATGAAATCAGCATCTCCATAAAGCTTGTCAGCAGAAGGAAGCATGAAGTGCTCTAAAATTTCCTGGTAGATGGCTGCGTTGACTGTGGACTTCAGAAAACACAGTGGACCAAAGTCCGGAGGTCTGGAGGAAGAGTGGAGAGGCACAGAAACCATGTTGCTTGAAGTCCAGTGTGAAGTTTCCACAATCAGTGATGATTTGGGCTGCCATGTCATCTGCTGGTGTTGCACAATATGCTCAACTTTTCACAATTTCCATTTCTTGCTGACTTTAAGGCAGGGTCCTGACCTAAATGGTTCCTCAGAAGACACTGATTTGAAACACTCTACATGCAACTCGTTCAAAAGCAGCATACAGATAGGGCTTTTAAAATCAAGGACAACTTTTATAATGGCAGGCTGTTTGCAGACTCCCATCCTCAACATCAGCCAGGACAGAATATAGCACAGGATGAACTACAGATAGACTGTGCGCACTGATAATAACAAAACAACTGCTATTACACACAAAAGATAGACCAAAGAGAAGAATACCCCAGTCATAAAAAAGTAAAAGAAGAAGAAAAAAGAACGAAAATACACAAATAAAAAGTGTAGCATATTGAGAGTGTTTAACAGGTAATAATTACTGCTGTTTATTACTGTGAAACTGCTTTGACTCGATCTGTGTTGTGTGAAACGTTACAGAAATAAAGGTGGCCTGACTTGAATAAGCACTCAAACATTGGGTTAAACAGTGCATTTTCAATTAGATGGATCAAACTTTTATCATTTCCAGTGAATTAAAAACCAGACTAAAATGCTCTTAAATGACTGGTTTTGATCAAAACAAGCACTTTCAAACCATCTGCACCTTTAAACATGCTTGTTTCTGTAGACAAAAATGCTCAACAAAGTGAAAACCCATGTTCTTTTTATTTTTTGTCTGGTTATTGCTATGGTTAAAATACTATACATTCATTTGCTATGTTATTCTTATAAAGGAGGAGACTAATTAGGACATTTGCATGAATTATTCCACCAATTGTTTATTCAAGAAACTTTTTTTTTTTTTTTTAATGTCTGCAGAGTTCATTTTAGTTCTCATTCTAAAATAGGTAATTAGTGAGGCATAATCATGTGTAACAATGTCAAATTGGTACAACTGACATTCATTAGTATCAGCCTTTGTGTGAAGTGCGTTCCAAATGACGGTTGTTTTCTGCAATATTTTCAAGCCATCATGCATTTTGGGATTTACTTATTCGTGGAGAATTCATGCGATGCTGCCTTAGAATTTGGTCAAAGCAAGATATCTAATGAGGCAGAATAATTGTGCATCCTCCTGTTTAGAGCAGCCTTGTGCTGTCTAGATGGGCAGATCACGAGAACTGCTGACTGCAGAGACCTTACACAAACGTGCTGAATATGAAGTGGATATTGGAAATGACTACAGCGATAAACATCACACTTGTTTTCCTGCTTTCTTTCAGTGACCCTGCTGACCCCGTCACTCTCAGAGCAACTCTGAGCTGAGACACACAGGGGACATTTAAAGGGACAGTTCATCCAAAAATAAACATACTCCTGTCCTTCTAGACCCTGCGTGACTTTTGTTCATCTTCAAAATACAAATGAAGATCATTTTCATATTCACACATCATTTTTGTCCATCAAACGCCATGCAACCGAAATTTGATGCTTCAAAAACTTCTTAAAGACAGCCTATAAGTAATCCATATGATTTGAGCAGCTTAATTCAAGTCCTCTGCAGAGACACGATAGCTAGAGATGATGAGCAGATTTAATTTAGGTTTTATTCACATATAAACTACTGGTCAAAAATGTGGAATAATTGAGCTTTTTAATGTTTTAGAAATAAGTCTGCTCACCAAGGCTGCATTTATTAATTCAAAAATACAGGAAAACAGTGAAATGTTATTACAATTTAAATGATGTGAATATCTGTTCAAATGTAATTTATTCCTGTGATGCGCAGCTGTATTTTCAGCATCAGTCTTCAGTGTCACATGATCTTCAGAAATCAGTATAATATGCTGATCTGCTGCTCAAAAAACAATTCTGATTATCATCAGTGTTGAACACAGTTGTGCTGCACAATATTTTTGGGGAAACTGTGATGCATTTTATTTTTCAGCATTCTTTGATGAATGGAAAGTTAAAAAGAATAGCATTTATTTGAAATAGAAATCTTGAAACATTGTAAATGTTACAAATTTATAAATATAAATTATTTCTTAAAAAACAAATCTTATTTACCTCAAACTTTTGAATGGTAAAGTATCACAGTGTCCACAACAAATAAATTTTTTTTTTTAATCATATAAATGGAGCCTTGGCAAGCAGAAGAGACTCGTAATTATCCCGAAATTTGACTGGTAGTATAAAGATTGATCAACACACATACAGTACATAAAGGCCATTAAATATGATCAACAGAAACTTAAAAATACATAACGAGCGACTGGATTGTGGACTGCTTCAAAAGGAAAACAAATACATTTTAAAACAAATGAAAACATTTATATTATGAATTAGCATTTCTCTAGTGTGTCCTCATTTAGCCGAGTAAATGTGTATGTGTGTGTTTGTGTGTGTGTGTGTGTGATTTGAGCTTTGAGTTCTGGTGATGTCACGGGAGGGTTTATCCTGCGGTTGAGATGATCACAGTCTCATTCTGTCTCTTGGCCAGTGGGACCTGCTCACATCAGCATAAAAATCTGCTCGCTCAGAAATCAATAGCCACTGCAGCTTTAATAGAGGAGACACTTATGCAGAGAGAAAGCATATCCCAGTGATTCAACACAGTCAGCCACCCCAGCTGCTGAAGCACACACACACACACACACACTCACACTCACACACACACACACACACACACAC